TTGGAGGTTATGACCAACATGTGGAACTTCAAGTTGAGCAGAAAATGGTTTAAAATTTATGATGGTGATGGTTCATTTTCTAGTTCTCTAGAAATAGTCAACAAGAAAGTCTTATGGCTAGACCCTAGGCTACTAAAAAGAAAAGACTAGACCTCAACCAAAAGTGAAGTCAACAGATACGTTTCATTACCCGAAGTAACCAACGTGCCATCCATTAAGTTCTTGAGGTCGAGAAGGCCTCCATTTTTTTTCTTCCGCCTGGATGTGTAAACCTGTTATTCCTCATCTGAAGACTGACTCATCTGATCAGTGTGTTGATCAATAGAATGTCGGGCATGTGTAAGCTGATGAGCTCCTTGCGTTTGACTAACAGTAACAACTTGCTCATTCTGATGAGGGGAAGAACCGCAGTATAAAGATTTCCAACAATGATAGGTTCTAGTTTGTGTGGAGTTTGAATTGTCTCGTCTGCGCCTGATGCTTCATAAAGATAAGGAGCTGCAAGGCTATCCTTATTATCGGTCTGAACATTGTCCCTTGTGGGTAAGAATCCTTCAGTATTAGTTTCAAAAAAGGTTTGAAGCTATTGTTTGCACGGTAGAACCATCCAGGAGCACATCAATCGCAGTAACAGAAACAATATTGTCAGAAAGGGGTCTATAGAGGCAATTAAATCAGACATACATACATACATACATAGGGTCAGAGAAGTACATAGGGTCAGAGAAGTAATGCTTAACTACATTCATCATACATACATACATACATATACATACATACATAGGGTCAAAGAAGTAATTCTTAGCTACATACATACATACATACATAGGGTCAAAGAAGTAATGCTTAACTCTAAAAAAAATATCATTTTTAATTTGACCCCTAAGAAATTTAAAAAGTATCAAAAAACTTTTTAGTTAATACTTTTTTAATGTCATGAGCATTATTTTATAATTTTGAGATTGTACATAAATATTCTTATGTAAGATTAGAAATTCCACCAAGATTAGTAGGTTTTATAGTTACTGTAGGTATCAACCTCATTTGATGGCTTCTTTTACGTAAGATATATGAAAAACTAAAAATATAAGAGTAGCATTAATAGATTTATAAGCTTAATCAACCCATCAAAAATGTCTAATTCAATTTGCATCTTTTAATTTCATACATTATTTAGTCCCTAAGATAATTCAAAGAAGTACAATTCAAAGAAGTACATAGGGTCGAAGAAGTGATGTTTAACTACATACATACATACATACATACATACATACATATACATACATACATAGGGTCAAAGAGGTCAAAGAAGTAATTCTTAAGTGATGTTTAACTACATACATACATACATACATAGGGTCAAAGAAGTAATGCTTAACTCTAAAAAAATATCATTTTTAATTTGACCCCTAAGAAATCCTTGTATAAAGTTTTAAATAACAATCCATGAACATACATACATACATACCCTATGATGCTTAACTCTAAAAAAATATCATTTTCAGTATGACCCCTAAGAAATTTAAAAAGTATCAAAAAACTTTTTAGTTAATACTTTTTTAATGTCATGAGCATTATTTTATAATTTTGAGATTGTACATAAATATTCTTATGTAAGATTAGAAATTCCACCAAGATTAGTAGGTTTTGTAGTTACTGTAGGTATCAACCTCATTTGATGGCTTCTACTACGTAAGATATATGGAAAACCAAAAACATGAGAGTAGCACTAATAAATTTATAAGCTTAATCAACCCATCAAAAATGTCTAATTCAATTTGCATCTTTTAATTTCATACATGATTTAGTCCCTAAGATAATTCATTAATTTATTTAGACAATCATCTAAATGAAATAAATTGAACACCAATTTTCCTCCTCAATGTAAAGTTAAATAGGCATCAAATTTAAATTGAAGTTAATATTTAAATCAAAATAATTAAACAATCTGGTTAATTATGTGACCTTAAATTGCAGGGAGAAGGCAAAATGTTCATCAACTTAATCAAGTTTAAGCCTAGTCATAGAACACATAAAACTTGATCTTAGACAACCAAATTGATTAAGAATTTAATCAGTCCAATATAATTTGAGCAAAGCTAATATGACCTTTTATAACAAAATCTTAGTTACATTAATCAGGTCACAAATAAATTTCCCAAATTGATTGCACTTGATTTGTGAGCTTATTTTTTTTTGAATGCAGCAAAAGTGGAAACCACAATGCAAGTGTAACATCTTTATTTGTAAATGTCCAATTTTATTAGTACGACAAAAATAAACATTGAATGAGAACATTTACAAAATTTAGGAAATTGATAATTAAAACTGGAACAATAGAAACGAGATACAATTAATACAAGTATGAATTTCGAATTATAGAGCCTAAAAGAAACAAATTAAATAACCAAATAAGGACAAAGGAATTAACGTGATTCAGTCATGCTGACCTACATCCACAGTTGACCTACATCCACAGGAAAGGAATCAAGATCTTCATTACTGTAATAAAAAAATATATATATATCGCTTCCGATCAACAATGTCTCATTGTCATTGCTAAGAGATGAAAGTAGACCAAAAAAAAAATGTGTGGTCATTTTCATACAGGTACAATGCATTCCTTTCCTTGTGAAAAAAATAAAATAATGCCTTTCATGTAGCTGCTAGAAATCAACAATTAGGATCAACACAATTAGCCATACATAGCACCAGCAGCTTGCTCCAAAACAAGTTATCCCCATAATTCATATAATAGGTTCATTAAAGAGAGCAAAACAGGTTCAACCGGAAATAGAAATAACTTCACTGACCCCTAATTTGAGATTTTAGAACAGATACATCAAATAAAGTAACAAAAAAGAATCACCAAGGCACGACAAGGAGCTACAATACGCAAACCTTCGTATGATAGCAACTGTCACTTGTCACCTCCCAAAAGAGGTCTTATGGGTGGTGGGCAGCCCAGGACTTAAATACTGTTTTTCGGCCCTACACCTAGTTGATGTGAAACTATTTGTCCGTGGCATTCTCCTCCACTCAATCACGTGATGCCCTCGTCACGGATCGGCTCCCCCGCTTGGCCCACTGGACCATGGAGAGTCCACACATTTGGCGGACAGTAATCTGTTATGATACCACTTGTCACCTCCCAAAAGAGCCCTTTGAGGTGGTGGGCAGCCCAAGACTTAAATACTATTTTTCAGCCCTACACCTAGCTGATGTAGGACTATTTATCCGTGACACACAACTCGATAGGGATGAGATGGTTTTTCCAGCAGAAGATTTGCATGCAAACCACTCAGTTCATATGAATTACCATATCTAACACCTAAACTTGAGAATGTAGCTGCTGCATAGACATAACTATCAAACAGTTTGAATGTTATCAAGCTAGATAAGCCCGTTGAAGATAAACGAATGAAGAAGAAAAACAAATGAAGCAGTTCCCTTAACTCATTATAATTCTCTGCTAATAAAGTTATCACACTTACCTATCATATAAATCAAGTACCCTAACTCATGTTGAATAACCTTTCACCTACCAGGTAGATCAAATATTACAGCTCCCCCACCCTTGCATTCATAGACTTCCCCAATGATAGAGGTTGCAGCAACAACAACCCCATCCAAATGAGGCAAATCCACTCCCATTTGGAATAAGTAACAAAAAACTGCAGAACTCCACAATTGAAACAAATGAACCAGCTACAATTCCTGGTAGCTGTAAATGTATTCATAGACTTCCCCAATATAAAACTTCACACCAGGGAATTGCCGCCAGGACAAACCACTGAACTCCAATGTATTTATATATCTACAAGCACAAAACAGGCTCAAGTGTAGAAGACAGAGAAGATGAGTGTAATGCTATTCCCCATAATCAAACTGAACTTCCCACCAGGGAATTGCAGCCAGGACAAACCACTTCACACCAGGGAATTCCAGCCAGTACAACCACTAAACCAAGCCAATATAAAACTTCACACCAAGGAATATAAGACTTCCCCCACCAACACTTTATTCATTTCTAAAATTGTATCAACTATAAGATTGTATTTGCAGAAAACATTTAAAACAATGCTTGTAATTGTAAAATTGTGAAAAATGTATTAGTGAAATTCCACATGGAAGTAATTAAGAGATAACAGTTTACAGAAAAATGCATGGCCTCAGTGGAGCGAAGTTTAGCTCTTATAATGCAATTCCTGAACGAATGCCAAATACCTCTCACAGCAAAATAAGGTACTCAATCACAGTCAATAATTTTCATGCATAAAGTAGTCACGACCCCATTTGAGCCCACATTAATTCAGAGCAAAGTATGACTGAGAGGGCATGGCATGCAATTTCCTGCCCATTGATTCTTGGTCACTCAACCTTATGTCCATAAGACCACATGCCCATTGAGAAATTTTCATACAGGAACAAAAAACAATGATCCATGTTCAGCCAAGCTACTACCATAAATTTAAGGAAATCTAAGAGGAAAGTGTGAGTTGGGTAGAGAAAATAGGAGTAAATAGACTAGAATAACAATTCTTAAGTATTTACATATCTAAAACCTAAATTATTCTTGTTTCTTTCTCCCAAAGTGTCAGTGTACTGAGCCCTTTAGACTTACTAGCCATTATATTACTACGATCAATCGAAGGCATGAGAAAAAACATTGACACGCTTTAGAGAAGAGGTGAGGGCATGATATAAAGCATACATTTTCAATTTGATTCTTAACCAAAAGAGAATCTAATAAGTCATGCAGTGATGTAATTACTGCCCATATATGTCTACCATGGATACCATGAAAGTTAACTATTACTCATCGCAACGAATAATATCATGAATGATCTGGCAATTAAAGCAAAGCATCTCAGCTGTCCAAGCAAAGCATCTTAGCTTTCCTACTTACATGATCTACTCAAAGAAAAACTAATGTATACTAAACTTTACATGTTTCCGAAATTATTGAAAGGCAAAACAATGACTGTATAGGTGTGATAGTGAAAATACCAAATGCAACAATAGATAAACTTTAAAGAAGCATTACACAGAAACATTTCAAAATAACTAAACAATAGCTAAACTTTACAGAAATGCAGTTCTCCATATTTTCACATAAAACTTTTTGTAGCAATTACCAATTGGAATGCCATTTAAATGTTAATAACTCCCCTTTTGAACTCAACTTGAATGTTCATGTTGCTTCTTCCTCACTACACCATTCCACATTAGAACCCTGAAACTGAAACGCAAGACTGTAGCAGTGAAATGAAGGCATCAAATAACTTTTTTTTTTTAAATAAAAGCCACTGTCAACGCCGAGAGCAACAAGAATAATTGTAGAGAAGATGGAATAGACATAATTTGATTTTGGGAGGAATGATATGGGAATGAGGACCACTTATAATAATTCTGTTCAAAGCATAGCCCGTAGCATATCCATGCCATTCTATTTTCTTTTCAGCTATATCACGAAATGGCTCCCTAGCACTTGCCATAACATTAGTACCACCCATGCGGATTGTTGCGCCCAAAAAAGATCCCAAATTATCAAACAGAAAAATGAACTTCTCCAGAAATCTATTTCATACAACATATTATTGATAAGAAATGCAAAGTAATGAACTTTTCTGAAACCATTTTCATATTGCTATAATGCAAAAAACAAAATAAAATTTCCTTCATATGTAGTGCCACTATGAGCAAAAAAACAGATCCTTCATGTAAATCGGATGCACATGCTTTGTAACCGCCCAAAATATACCCGAAAAGCTCCTTCATGCTACCAAATTTTCGGGGCAAACACGGGGCCGCGGGGTTGATCCCGCTGCCCGCTTCGCCTTAGCTTACTATCACCGCCCCCGCGAAGTTACGAACAAGTTTTTTTGTCGCGAAAGTCCAATTTTAAGTATATACATATAAACATTATATGTTATGCATATAATTTTTGAATAATATACTCATATCCTCATACCATCAAATCCAGCCATTAAAGATAAAATAGACTGTTTAGAGCTGTGCACATCATTTTAATGAAGAATATTAGAAAGCCCGAATTTCATATATAGATACCATACCATTAACATTATGAGATATTTACATACATATCACACAGTGTTTTTTTTTAATGTATTCATATATCCCACATTCAAACTTTCATTGTGAAATATATGCCTCCTTGTCTAAAAAAAATGCACGTCTTTAATTTCGTTTTCTTTAAAATATCACAATACCAGACTATATACCTTTTCCATGTGATAGGAAAGATTTAATTGGCACGAAATCAAAAGCAAAATTTTGATGTTGGATTTGTAAATACATAGGAATTGGATGGTATTTATGTAAACATGAAACTTTATATAAAAGAACATAACTGATTACAAAAATCTGTATGTATAAATTCAAGTCTAAATTTTAAATCAATGAAAACATATGAGAAATTACAAAAATTTGCACAAATATTTATTCTGAGTGATATATGTATGTATATACATTGCAAATCCAAGCATATATATATAAAAAAATGTAACTGTACATTTTTAGTGTGGAGACTATATTAGTTGCGGCCATAAGTTCAATATAAATTGCTGAAATCAGCTCAATCAAGTCTAAGACTATCAAATAAGCAAATTGTGTATGATCATCATTACTCGATTCCATATAGACTGAAGAGCTTTTAATGGAGTATAGTAATAGCAGATTAGCTGGTAGCAAACAGATTACTTAGACCAAACCCTTCAGCAAAGTCCACAAAACAGTACAAATGCATATGAAGTGTTCGTAGAGCAAGAGATTTTATCCAGATAAATCTCAAAAATGCCAACTATTATGGAAACAAACAGCCCACAAACCCCTAAGATCCTCAAATTGTGAGTAATTCTCAGACTTTTATCCTGATAGACAAAATTCATATAACTACCTGAATTATTCATACAACTTTGGTGTAATATAAGGATGAGATGAATCAATCTATTTGATACATTTATTTCCCTATACAAGTATATTTGAGATTCTAAAAACTTATATACATATATCTGAATATTAAAGGTTAAGAAATGATCTCCAAATCTTAAATAAAGAAAACAGTTATGAGTAACATACAGGCGTATAATAACTATATTATGAGTATCGCATAAGAATTATATGCTGTATAAATAGACATATAAAGATTATGTAATAGCGAGTAAGCATATGAAATTTATGAAAGGGCAAGTGAGCACACAAGAACTGAATGGACAATAAGTAAACACCTCTTTCAAGGTATTTACACTCGATCCTTTGTATATTTATATTTGTGATGATACATGCCTTAAATAGCGTATTCACGGGTACAACTTGAAGTTTTTCAATTCACAATATACAACTCAATCTTCCTTCCTCTTAATCACAATTAAATGAATCGAACATACCAAAATCCTTAATCATTGAGAAGAACTTCTCATAATTCATGATACTTAACGAAAATCTTTTGGATAAAATATTCTACAAGATCAGAAAAGAAAAGAGAAGATAAGAGAAAAAAGGTTTTATCATTGATAAAGGAATTAACATAGGGTCGTAAGGCTGCACCATAATATCCTATAATAAAGCAATAGGATCGAGCCCTCTACCTCTCCTATAGCCTATAATTCTCTTTTATTCCTGACTTGTTATAGAGTATTGAAGGGAAACCAAGTCTAAATATATAAGAACCATCTAATCTAACTAGAGAAGGAAGGAGCGTCGAGCCGCACACTGCAGAAGTCTAATCATCTAAATATTATACGTTCATATAAATAAAAACTGTAAATTCTATGCAAACACGCATTTGAAACTTAATTAATATATGTAAAAGAAAATAAAAGAATCGAGAGACTATGCTTAAGACAATGCTTATTACACTTTAAATGTTACGAGTGTAAATAATCCAAAATTTCAGATAAAATTGTATGTATATCACTATATCTGTATGTGAAAAGAACAAGTTTATTTAACTATAGCAATTTTATAAAATAACAAGCAAGCAAATGAATAAGTATATATTATGTGATAGTATATAAAAACATAAAGATGGTGTAGCGAATTTATGAACATTTCCTCACCCAACTAGTGCAGCAAATAAATAAATAAATAAATAACTATCCATATCAACTTCGATGAAAAGATATAAGCCATACCACGTTTATATTTTTGAAAGATCTCTATGCATCTCCCCCAAAACTATCCATTGACCTGCTCTTCAGTGTCAGGCTTCTTTCTTCAGCCGAAAATAGAGAATGCTAAAATAAATTAATATTATTCCAATGAAGAGGAGAAGTCCACAAAACAGTACAAATGCATATGGAATGTTCTTAGCTCGAAAGATTCCATCCAGATTGATCCCAAAAAGGCCAACTATTATGGAAACAAACAGTCCACAAACCCCTAAGATTCTCAGATTATGAGTAATTCTCAGACTTTTATCCTGATAGACAAAATTCATAGAACTATAAAGAATGTGGGCTATTAAAGATATAGAAGATAAAATATGATTGTATGTTCATAAATACCTCTAAACATGCACGAACTGTGCTTTGAAGTACGTCTTGAATGGTGAAGATTCGTCCACGAACTACTTCCTGCTCTTGTAGCATTTCACTTGTAGTATTTTTAATTCTTTCCAGTAAACTTTTTGTGACAGTTCCTTTCGTGTTGCAGAAGCTCAAAGACAATTGCTTCCCTTGCATGTAATGACCATTGAACAAAAAAGTTTACTGGAAGAAATTAAAAATACTATAAGTGAAATGCTACAAGAGCAGGAAGCAGTTCGTGGACGACTCTTCACCATTCAAGACGTCCTTCAACGCACGTTCGTTCATGTTTGGAAGTATTTATGAACATAAAATCATGTTTTATCTTCTATACCTTTAATAGCTCACATTCTTTATAGTTCTATGAATTTTGTTTATCAGGATAAAAGTCTGAGAATTACTCATAATCTGAGGATCTTAGGGTTTGTGGGCTTCTTGTTTCCATAATAGTTAGCCTTTTTGGGATCAATCTGGATGGAATCTCTGGCGCTAAGAACACACCCTATGCATTTGTACTTTTTTGTGGACTTCTCATCTTCATTGGAATAGTATTAATTTATTTTAGCATGCTTTATGGTGGGTTGAAGAAGCTGGACACTGAAGAGCAGGTCAATGCTAGAAAGCTTGAGCTCTGACAACTGTTTTCCATGTTCAAACATGATGTACAGACACATGCGAAGGTCCGCGAAGGTGTCTCTAAACTACGGACATCTTAAATGATGTTGACTATCTTTTCTATTTAAGACTTTTCATCAAACCTTTCAAGTGAGAATCATATTTCTATATTTATTATTTTCTGTGGCACGAATATGAAATATTTTATATCATATATCATAGGTAAAATTTTGTTACTTTTTCATAATAGTTATATCCTTGGAATATAAATTTGTTTATAGTTCTAAATCGATTCATAATTTGAAATGCTCTTTGAAATTATAGATTATAAATATAAGCTCGATCCTAATGAAATAACCAGTATATAACCTTTTATTTCATTAGGATAGAGCGTATGATTATAATCTATAATTCCAAACTGCATTTCATACTATGAATCGATTTATAACTATAAGTAAATTTGGATTCAAAGAATATAACTCTTATGAACAAGTAACAAAATTTTATCTATGATATAAAATATTTCATATTCGAGCCACAGAAACAAATGAATATAAAAATATAATTCTCACTTGAAAGGCTTGATTAAAAGACCTAAATAGAAAAGGAAGTCAACATCATTTAAGCTGTTCGCAGCCTGGAGACACCTTCCCTAACCTTCACATGTATCTCTACATCATATTTGAACATGGAAAACAGTTGCTGGAGCGCAAGCTTTCTAGCATTGACCTGCTCTTTAGTGTCGGGCTTCTTCAGCCCAAAATAGAGCATGTTAAAATAAATTAATAATATTCTAATGAAGATGAGAAGTCCACAAAACAATACAATTGCATAGGGAGTGTTCTTAGCGCCAGGGATTCCATCCAGATTGATCCCAAAAAGACCAACTATTATGGAAACAAGCAGCCCACAAACCCCTAAGATCCCCAGATTATGAGTAATTCTCAGACTTTTATCCTGATAAATAAAATTCATAGAACTATAAAGAATGTGAGCTATTAAAGGTATAGAAGATAAAACATGATTTTATGTTCATAAATACTTCCAAACATGAACGAACCGTGCTTTGAAGGACGTCTTGAATGGTGAAGAGTCGTCCACGAACTGCTTCCTGCTCTTGTAGCATCTCACTTGTAGTATGTTTAATTCCTTCCAGTAAACTTTTTGTGGTAGTTCCCCTCAAGTGCTACAGTAGCTCAAAGACAATTGCTAATTGCTTCCCTTGCATGTAATGACCATTAAACTCTAATAACCTGCCAAAACGATATGGATAATTGAGATACTAATTAAGATTTGGAGAGTTATTTGTAATATTTCAATAGTTTACGTAACCAATCCTTTTAATAGAGAATACACAAGTCTAACATAACATCAAAAGATTAGAGAACGAGTATTTGATGTCAATATCAAAAAATAAATGAGATGTCCAAAATGCAAGTGGGAAGTATAAAGAAAGTAAAAGTTATGAGTTAAATAATAATGACGAGAGAGAATCGTGAAATACAGAGTAAAAAATATATATAGATATCATAGAACTAATTTAAATAAATCAAGTAAAATTCCTCATTATGCGCATGCTGCATGTGACTGACTCTATTGCCTGTGTTGCATCAGTTCCAATTGTGACATTTACATTCTTGTGAATCAGCAACATTATCTATTTCATTGGAACTGAAATTTAAATGAACCAGCAACAACTGAATCAATGAGGCATATTGTGAGTTCCTAGATAACTCTCATGATCGCATTTATAAAGTGCATTAAGAATGCTTTGCCTCAAAGTGTAAGCACTAAAATGAAAATATTTTGCACAACTCCGCTTAAGAATTAGCCCTAAGAGTTGAGCGATAACTACCATTCCCAAAAAAAAAATTTCATAGCCAGAATAAAAATCCCATAAATTTGAAAATGAAACCCGTGAAGGAACACAAAAAGAATCATTTAAAATTAATATTTTTTACAGATTACCAACTAAAATAAGTTGCGAAGCAAGCACGTCCAACTGCAAAATCACACTAACGAAATGTTTCAATGCTTAGGCTTTGGGCATATAGTTTCTAATAACATCAATCTTCATGTAGTATTCTTACTTGAAAAAGCTAGATCAATAGGAGGATGAAAATAAACAAAAAACTAAAGATGCGAACGAGAACTTAGTGTATGCCAATAAACTACTTATAATGCGACAAATATTGCACGCTATTATAAACAAGGAATCTTATTGACTTAGCCAAAATATTTTTCATTTAAGGTGTGCTATACAAGAAAAAGCTTCTAAGAACATTATTGACAAAGTTATAAAAATATTTTCTAATATGATGGTAAGAAATTAAACCCCGACATAAGATCACCTGAAGCCTCAAGTTATTTTGGTTATGCAAAGGAAATGAAACTAAAGTCTTAAAATGACGTTTGGTATAACTTTCTCTTGATAGGAAATTACAAGAGGTTTAGTGTGATGTTATTCTTGTGATTTTTTCTCAATTTACTATTAGGCCTACTGCTGCAATAGAATAGAGACACCATTTATAATGGTCAAAATAATACTTGTACATTAGAGTGAGAGGGTCAAAAATGGTATGGAAGCCCTTAAGTAATTTCTTTTGTGTGGATATTTCAGCAATTTTATTTGTAAAAGCACACAACGCACATGCAAGGCCTTGAACCTATAACCTATTAGTTCAACACCTTGGTTGATAGCCTAAGTTGTCAACCAAGGCTCCTGAGTTCAACATCTTGCATATGTTGTGTGCATGCATTTGCAATTAAATTCAGAAAAATGTCCCCAAAAATATTATTTAAGCGTCAAAATAAGTCCTCTTTTCTTCCATTGATGCAATTTACTTTTGATTGAATCATAAATTTTGAATATGGCGTCTTCTTCTAGTGGTGCCTAATCTTTACACAATTACGTTAAGAGTTCAACAAATTAGTTCCAGAAAGACATTTCATATAAATAAGTAGACTTTTCATAACCATTATAGCTTCTTTAGAGAATGATCTTCAAGAATAATAGCATCGAATTACAAACTGAAAAATGTTAAATTACTATGGCATGAACATATGTTATATGATTCGAAGTCAATTTAAATATGAATATGGACTGATATCTGCTCCAATTCCACCATATAAGACAAGACTGATAGCCTAGTACTGAATCAAGTTAATGCAATTCAACCTCGAATCGAAATCAAAATTGTTTCTTTTATTGGGGTAATCCTTATAAAAATTAGTTTTTATAATATATTACATTATATTGCATAGAATTATAGAAAGGTTGTGCAAAAATTCTAGAATAGTGATTACACCCTTTAAATAAAAAAAAAATTATTTAAGCCTTAGGCTAAAGAGAAATTTAAGGAGTTAAGTTTGAATTGAATTAAGTTGAAAGTGATTTATTTTGAGGACTTCCAAACTTATTGAAGCCATGTCTCTCAATTTAAAGAAAATAATTTTTAAATCTTTAATTGACATTAAATATGTATCTCAGCTTTTATATAGTTTTTTACATTTATAGGAAGAGTGAGAATCAAATGGGGTAGAGTCACCAAGATCCATGAGAACAACAAAACTACATAAACCACTTGATCATAACTGAGATTAGCTCTAATACTACCGGTTTGGAGATGAAACATCAGGAGCCTAAATCGAATTCAAATACACTAGTGGATGGGCACCCCTCAATCCAAAAGCTTAAGAAAATGGATTAGAAACTCAACTCTTGTTCTTACTTTCAATGTAAAATTATTTTTCATGTTGGTGCATCTCAACAAAATTTTCTTTTATTCATCATCTTCATGATCTCTTTCTATTTCTTTTTTCTAGTAACGTCTAAAGACCGAATTGAGCATCGAAAGCCTGCTTTGTCAAACGGCTATTGTGAGTACTGAAATAGAAAAAGGTTTCAGTCTGCTCCCACGTCTTTCAGGATATTTGATAGAGCATTTATCATAGCCCCTAAAAAGTGGAATTTTAGAAGCTTGAACAGTTGAGGTGATGCCTTTGCAGTGAGATTGCTGCAGCAGGATTACCCAATTTGTAGCAGTAAGCAACCACAAAAGTCCACAATAGATGAAAAGCAAAATGAAGATGGACAGCATCAAAATCAAATGGTTATTTTTCAAAATAAACTCATGATGGTTATAATTCAATTCATGCAATATAATTTGCAAAACTCTTAAGAAAAATCAAGAGAGTTTTAAGTTAATAGCAACTTAGTTTTAGCACTTCATGTTGTTTGAACTTTGAAATGCCCTAAATTTTATCTGTAGTTTAGAACTTATTATAGGCATCCAAGAGTTATAATTATTTTGAAGTTTAGTCGTGATGGCATTGCCTCTCCATTCCAAAGATATGACAAGGTTGTATATTAAAAAAAAAACAAAATGAATAATTGTTTATGATCCTAACTTAATCGATTATATTCACTTTGATATCATCAAACTATATCACTGCAGAAAAATAGCATGTTATCATCATCATTTTCCAACGGACCAGAAATTGCATGATGGTCGACTCATTTCAAGCGGAGTTTAGGTCATCAAAAAGTATTTTCAACAGGGATTATTGGCATATCAATTTCCACAGGAAGCAAAATTTCCATCATGTACCACTAATTTTTATACGGATTTTTTAATCACAAATTGCATATTTTACTCACCATCCTACTCACCCTAAAAAGTAACCACAGAACTTCATTTTGCCAATGCATTCAATTGTTGAATGAATTCAAATGCTCTTTCAAAGCATATTTTAACACCAAGGTAGAGGCCAGCCATCTTTGATTTCTTCAACCCAGAAAAGAATTGAATCGATAAGGGCCGTCTATTGTTCGAGACTCGAGAGATTTTCCTTATTGACCTACAACATTACATCTTACCCTTTTATGAAACTCCTAGTAAGATAGGGTTCAGAGAGGAAGTAATACAACATTACATCCATATGCAAAGATGTTGTTTTCGAATAAAACAATGATGATTGGCATACATAAATAGAGAGAGATGTACAAAACTTTAGTTATTTTGCATGCCATGATAAATTTTATAGGTAGATAGGAAAGTTGAAAAGGTATTATGTAATACTAATTTGATGAATACAAACCCCCTAAACACTACAGGATTTCAAAAAGCAACATTCCTAGAAAATAAAATAGGCATAAATAGTGCATGAGGCATTTCTAAACAATGAATAACTTTAGTGAGTGTGGAACCAACGTGTTTCGAAATTGTGCCTAATACAAAAATTATAAAATTCATTTTTAACCCAACTATTTAAGCTTATGGATGAGGTTCAACTAGTTTATATTTTTACACCAACAAACACTCAACTGTGTGATATGACTGAACCAATACTCTCACGTATCTTAAAAATCTCTCACTTACATTACAGCTCTACAATTATCCATTACTCACCCCCCATGTGCAATATTTTCAACATCATCGAGTATCATGCACAAATTAGCACGTTCAGTCATATGAAGCCGCTGTGAGAGTCTCCCTCTCTTAAACCATACTTGACCATGGCCGACGAGGGCATCATGAAAGCCATAAGCTTCATGAACTATTTGTTAACAAGGGAGCATTATAGAGGGCCAAAGTTGGACCTAACATGCTATCGATCAAACCCATCTTTCAATCCAAAAGCTAAAGCCTATGGGTGCGAGCCAAAAAACTTGTTCATCTTACACCAAAGCTTTTGTAACTATCGAATGTGGGATTAAATGCCATATAGTAACTTGATGCATATAGCCTTTGTCAAAGTAGGTTCGAAGAAGCCAAAATATATAACCTTCCTATAGATGGTTCAATGGCATCCACGGGACTTTAACCACAAATAACAATTAAAAATACTTTCTAGAAGAATTTGAATATTTTGTATAGGTGTAATTCTTAGATAATTTATATAACTTGCGCAATATGGTAAAAAAAGCATATATGATTCATAAACATATGAATAGATGCAATTTAGGCAATACTCTTAACACATACATACACAAACTAAACAAGAGAGAGAGAGAGAGGTGCTTATAAATCCATCGCAACCATCAGAAACTAAAGGACTGTCTGGTAATGGTTTTAAGTGGAATTTAACTCATATTTTGCCAAACAACAAAAAAGCGGCGCTTTAGATCATGCATTCCATAAATCCGGATTCATTTTAGTTTTTTCTCCATTTTGCCTCAAAACATGGATTTACAAATCCTGTTGTTGGCAAGATTTAGTAAATCCGGATGTAAGAGATTTACTAAAGCAACTAAAGTCATTACCAAACAACCCCTAATAGTATACTTCACTGAAGCTATCAACCCCTAATAGTTATGCTGAACTGAGGCAATCAACCCTTAATAGTTATGTTGAACTGAGTCTATATATATATATATATATATATATATATATAGGAGAAAACTTATACTAAATTGAAGCAGAAAAAATATAGATTTGGCTGAAGTGCTGATGAATAAGTGATCAATTTAAGAGAAAAAGAGATTTACATGGGTTCAAATTCCCTGATCGCCGCAAGTTCTTTCCCAACCAAATCCATCCATTTCACCCCCCCCTTTACCAACCTCCTCCTTTCCTGAACCAGCTGACTTCTTCAGGCTGCTCTTCAGTAAACCATCAGCTTTCTCATTTCCTGCCCCTTTCTCCTTCACCTCAGTCTTCACTTCAGATGAGTTATCCTCCACAACAAGAGGAACTGGAATTGGACTGGAAGCAACATGGTGGGAATCTTCCGATTTTATTGCTCGGGGAGAATAAACACAGACAGAATATTTAGAGAATCGGATAGACGGACAGTAGGACTTGTAGAATAGAACCAACGTGAAATCATATCAATATTCAATCAAACAAAAATAGGGCAAGAACAAAAAACCAACTTTCAAAATTCAAACTTCCTCCATCTTTAAACTATATGAATTCAGTCTCTTCGATGGAACCAAATGCTTGGCGTTGAAGGGAAGGTTTTAGGTCCTGTTCTATGAAATAGAGAGGGGGAATCATGGAGAGAGCACCAACGCTCAAACTTTTACGCATATGGATGACAAATCATGAACAGAAACCCAAAAAAGAACACAAAAAGGAAGAAGGTGGGAGAGCTCGGTTGGTGTTCGATACCTCCGCAGAAGCAAACAAGGAGGAATCTTTACAGTTTTGTTAAAAAGGTGACTTTTTTATTCAATTGGGAGAGGAATGCTGCAAAAACTTGAAAAAGATGGAATCAGAGAAATAGGGAAAAGGAAGGAGGCATCAGGCATACTGGGAAAGGTGAAATAAAGAATCGTGCGTACTTGCAGGCTCATGAGTCTACTCATTTAATCATGTTTCAAATATTTATATGATTATATTTAATGTTACCTTAATATTCATCTCATTTTTTTTATTTTATTATAGAAAAAATTACCCACATATAAATATTGATATTTATATATTAACCGTCAAGAAAATTTTCTTTTAAATTTCAGAACCGATGTATTTAGGTGTTTCACGATCAAACTATTAAAAATTTAAAAAATTGTAATATATGGGTTGGCATTGTACCACAAATTTTAATATTTGAGTGAGAATTTGAAAAATGGATTAGAGAGAATGGTTGATTTGTAAATAGAAAATTCTTAATGGCCTATAAACAATTGTCCTTTCACTATGGACTTTTTATTAGAGAGAACTATATCTTTAAACTCCTCACTATTTATATTTAATTTGATATTAATAAAATTACGAAATTAATACTTTATCAATAGTTTTTAAAAATTTTATTTGCAGCGGTCATTTTTTTATATAAAAGTAAGTATAAATTTGATTTTAACAGAAAATAATTATATTATTTTTAAAAATTTTGGCAGAAATCGGAATAATGTGTTAAATGTTTTATTTATTAGGGAAATATGTTCAAAAGATTATTCCAAACCAAAAAAATATACAATATTTTTATATGTCCATCATAGAAAGAATGTTGCCCCACCCTATCCATACATTGGTACTCTAACGTTTGAGATTTCATCGCTCAAGTGGGCAGCACGAGTATGACAATAGAATTCATATTGTCTTTGCTCGTTAACAACTTCAACATACATGTGTATTATCTTTTTAAAAAATTTCTATGGTTCTTCACATATTAATATATTTTGATGTATGGAGTTTATTTAAATCTACATTGAGTATCAAATATTTTATTTTAAACCTTCTTATAATATACAATTTAACCATAACTGAATATCATTACATATTCCAACACGTCTTTGAATATATATTCTAACCTTACTCAGATCATGTTGTTGGCCAAACATCTTCGAACCATGATTAGACATTATTCATACATGTTGAAGTATGGTTAACATGATTCAAACTATGTCTAAACAATATGATTTGAAATTGTCATATAAATAGCTGCATCCTTTTGCATGTCCAGAGGAGAAGTCTGCGTGTTTCTTCAACCTAGTTGGTCAAGCATAAGATTTCTACTTAGGTGGTTGTCTAGCATGTTTTGTGAGTTAGAGGCTTCCTCGACCCTGACAGGAAATAAGGCCTTTATGGGAGCATCTCAGTTTTGTAGTTGTACTTCTCTTTTCTTTCCAATTCAATGGCTTCAACACCACTTTGGTAAATATAAGTCTCACCTCTACTTTCTACTTAGAGAGGTTCATGGTACTTAAAGTTTTCTTCTTTTGAGCTTAAGGCTACTAGGGCGCTCTTAAATGGTGTAATCCAAGGACTATTGATAAGGGGCCTTTGGTCGAGTTAGGTCTACTACCTTCACGACTAAGTAGACTTAGGGTCTTAAAAGTTTGGGATGACGAATTTATGGTATTCTGACGTAGCTATCTTTACCCAGATTATGATTACTTAACCATTCATGTACTTACCCCCATTTGAGCCTTGTAGCTCCTTTGACAGGCTTCGATTGCATACAGATCGCTGTCTGTTTGGGATACGATGATTTACCCTCAGACTTTATGACCCGCTTAGGCATGCAAGCATAGTGCAGTGTCAGTAGCCAAATGGGAATCTGTCAATTGCTTTTGAAAAATGATTTAATTTAATATATATATATATAACCACCCGTCTCCGCTCTGTATTTTAAAAAATGAGACCGAAGAGATTTCATATGTTTAGTAGTTTAGATATTTGAGTGCAATACCACAAATAATACGCCACCGCGAGAGATAGACATATCACTTATTAGTAGACTCAACCACTTAAACTAAGAAATTTATGACATTCATTTGGTCTGTGAACTTTTTATATGACTAACAGTTTTTTATATCTAATATTAATGATTAGATATGGTTTATATTACTTGGGTTCATTAATTCTCTATAAGAGTATGCCTCTGTAGTTAATTACATCTTAAATGACCGAAGTCATTTAAGAAAACTCTCGATAATGATCAGGGGTTTCGTCTTCAAGAATTAAAAATTGAGTTTTCATGGTTGGACATGGAAGAGCGAAGTAGAAGTGACTCAAAATAGGAACATTTATTTTGGAGTCAAAGCAGTGAAAAGTATGGGATATCATAGATCTTGAGTCAAAGCTTAATAACCTCTCAAACTATTATATTGTTTGGCTTTACATTTAGAGAGTGAAGTTATTTTAAATGTTTTAATCCTACAATTTACTTGGAGTATAAGGCTTACATTTGCACAATGTCTGATCGTGCAAATAACCTAGGAAGATAGAAGAATTTATGTTATACCGAATGACGATCTTCGAATCCTAAAAAAAGTTATGACTTATACTACACAACATAATTGTGCAAAAGCCTAAGAGGGAGTGAAGATTTATGTTGCATTAGAAGAACAACCTCAAAGTTCTAGGTGTTTTTGTTATTTTTGATTAAGGAATGTTTTGCTGAAGTAGATCTGTTTCATTTTTTATCCTCGGTCATCCTCTGAAGTTGTACTCCTTCTGCTTGTAGCTTGTTCCGAGCTTCTTGTCGTAATGATTGCAGGTTTAGGGTTTGAATGTGAACATGCAATTATTGTGTCATAGTTTGTCGTAGGGTTCCACCTAGCATATCTTCAATTGTTATCTACCCTAAGGGCCTTTGCAATTTCATTAAATTAAACATGTTGTAGAAGTGCAGTAAAAAGTAAAGTAAACAAGTGTACCTGAGATTTTTGTCACTACTGCAAGGTTAGTACACTAAACATGGCATAGTAATGTGCATGGAATTAAAGAGAACCTGAGGAAAACGTGAGCGAGTAAAACAAAACATGATGACACATATAAAAGACCATGCTTGATGTAAGAATTTAATTTACGGGAGAGCTCGGAATCAGGACATGTGGCCCTCACAATTTTTTCCGATGGACTCCATAGCCAATCATAATCATCATGTATGTGAGACCCAACATAAGATAAAAGGCTACCAGCCATGCCATCACAAAAAGGGTAATCCCTAACTTAGTTTGTGTAACTGACACATGAACTTGTTCCAAGCAATATTTTAAAAGTTGAATTTTAATTTGTCGTGCAAAAATAGTTTGAGTTTGTAAACATTTTTAGCAAACAAAATATACGTTTGATTCAAATAGTACATTTTAATATTATGTGTGTGTATTTTGAAATTGAACTCTTCATGAGTCAGTCACACCAAAGGGCTAAGAGTGTCAGCTACCAATAGAGCAAAATGCAACTTTTTACTAAATGTTAGGGAATAATAATGTCAATCATTAGCCCTTTCATAGGTTCAAGATATGTGGTGCTCCTCGCATACCTAAATGTTGTTCCCATCATCACTCTTATCATCAGAACCTTCAAACTTACACCAGCTCAATGATCCATATGTGGCATTTTAAATATCCCTAGTTGCCCACAAGGGTTTAGTTACTTTATCCAAGGCTCATACCCTTGAGCATTGGGTTTTAATTAAGAGATTCTTGAATCATATTTTGGTGTTTTCATTTGTGTGATTTAATTAAGAGAGTCTTGAATCATATGTTGGTGTTTCCATTTGTTTGAGGATGATTTTCTTCAACACATTAAAGTAATTTCAAATGAACTATAAAATATTCAAAATCTTACAAGGGTGTCCAGAGAGTTCGGTTGGATTCATATGGAGAAAATCAAGATTTTATGTAATTCGAGAGGTATTTTTGGCAGTGTTATTGTGGTTGTATTGAGGTAGTGTTGGAGTTGAACCGTGACAGTGGTGTTATTGGTGGTGTTATTCGGCGTATTATTGGGGTATTATTGGCAAGAAACTGCGGGTTGGGGTTATTGGCTTAGGAATCGCCATAATTTGGAGGTGTTATTGGTAAGGAATTAAAAATTTGGGTGTTACTACGGGCATATTGCATGGTGAGGGGGTGTTATCTCAGAGAGTTGCATGATACCGCGGGGGTGGTGGCATTGGTGGTATTGTTTTGATTGTATTGTGGTTTTTTTGTGGGATTGTGGCGTGATATCGTGGGGTTAAGCGGCGGTGATAGTATTGTGGTGTTATTAGGACTGTATCACGGTGTTATTAACTCAGTATCGCAGTGGATTATGGGGTTATGCAGTGTGATAGTATAATAGTGTTTATGCTATTGTATTTTAGTGTTATTACAGGGTTTACGGAGGTGTGCTTGGGGAGTTTTACCACGGTTCAGTGTGTAGTGTTATTGAGGGCTTGCCATGGCATTAGGTTGGTGTTATTGGGGTTGATCACGACATTAGGTTGGTCTTATTAGGGGTTCTTGGCTTGAGTTTAGCCAAAATCAAGCCCAAACTAACATAAACCCCTTTCCCACTTCAATTCAACTTGTAGACACAAGACACATGACAATTGGTGAATTTTAGTGATTGTCATAATGGGAAACTAGAGTAGGAATTTGACTATTTGGATTTGTGTGAAATTTGATTCGAATCAAATTTGATTTTGGATTTGAGGTGAAATTTTGGATTTGTGTGAAATTTGATGTGAATCAAATTTAATTTTGGATCTGAGGTGAAATTTGATATAAAATGGATTTGATTTTGAATGTTGTGTGAGATTTAATCCAAATTAGTATGGCTTTGTCAATTTGGTGTCCATGGGAATTGTATTCAAAATTTGGATTTAACGTTTGGAATCTTGGTGAGTTTGAGGTGTATTTAAAATTTTAGGGTGATCTTGGAGTGAATTTTGTGAGGGGGCGTGAAGTATAAGTGAAGTGGCGTGAGTGTGAGGTTCCCAAGCCACTCAAGGTCATAAAGGGTATTCCTCAGGCTTTAAAGTCCTATGGGAACTCATTTTTTAGTCTTCAAATGTTGGTTTCAACCACCCAAGTATTAGAGGTTTATGACCACCGAAGTGAAACTCCAAAA